CAATGGACCGAAATGGATTGCAATTATTGTAAAGAAATATCGTCTTCTAATGCATCATAATGAACAAACAAGGGATATTATTGAATACCCTATCAAAACTCCAGGGGCTTAAATAGCAAGATGGCCTTAAATATGAAAAAATGCTCCTATAAGTAATATTCAGGTCAATTAAGAAAAATTTCAGTTTTTCGGAACTAAAAGTGGATTTTTTTCAAGTTATTGTGTAAAAATATATTATTATAAAGTAATTATATTCAAACAGGTAAAATTTTCATAAATATGTTAATATCATGAAACACAATATATATTGAAATAATCTGTATACTTACTTTTGTGACGTAAATTTTGCACCTATTTAGCACCACCTTAAATGTGGACTCAAATAACAAAAATATCCAGAAAAAAAGTAGTGAATAATAATTATCATAATTGTTTTTAATAAATAAATGTGTTACTTTTTTGTTTTTTAAAAAAATAATATCCTTTTTTTAAATAAAACCAATTATCAGTATTTCTGTATACTTATTTTTGTGATTAACTGTATGTAACAAGCGATATTTTATAATTTTCACTACTCCCGATATGTATATTCGTTGTTATATTTTTTATGTGAATGTGCAATAAGTTGTTTCGGAACTATTATGCTAACATTTTTTTATATTAATAATATATATATTTTGCAAAAAAAGTTATTTAAAAGGTATGTTAATGTATGTCTTGTTAATTTAAATAATTTTTATTCGTTACTTAATATGGATGGTATATCCACAATTTCTTCAAAAGATTCAAGAGAGTGTAAATGAGAATTAAAGTAGACTAAATCTATAAACTTTTGAGCATTTTTTAAAAATCATTTATTATTAATATTTTAAGCAAAGTTATCCTCCCAGTCTCTAAATTTTGATATTTACATTATTTTTGAACATAAATTTAAGAGTTTAAATTTCCTTAAAAACGTTCGGCTCTGGGCCGACTTTAAGCCGCCGCCGAATTATTATGTCTCTGCCGCCGCCGGCGACAATTTTAAGTCGACTTCGCCCTCTGATTAGGACTTCTTCTTTTTATTATGTACGGTAATGACCAGGGCAAGGATTTCTATGCAAATGCATGTTTGTAGTCAGTAACTCGAAATAACTTTTAAGTAGTTTTCTTTTCGAATCAAAGAATTTGCAACAAATTGCCATCGATTTGTTGTTGCATATTTTGTTATAAATGCATAAATTGCATATTTTGCTTTAAAATGCATATTTTTTTTAATTTTTCGAACACAAATTATATTTAAAAACAAGTAAGAGTGTTATATTCGACTATGCCGAATCTTATATACCCACCATCAAACCGTATGCCGTAATTGGGATGCTCCTATATAAACATTGATATTTGAAATAGGGCTTAAGTCAATTATAGACACATCCCTTTCGTATTTACAAAATATTAATTATTAAAAACGAAATATTTTTGTCCAACTTTAGGGCCAATTATAAAATTTGGTGGAGAGACTTTGGCTGGTAAGAAACTTACTTCTGTATATCAAATTTCATAGCTATACTCTCATTTTTTAGCCAGTAAGCGTTAAAGTCATTGTCTGAATGTGGGGGTAGGGTCAATTATGGTATTTTCAAGCCAGTGATTTTCTGAGGAGAACCTTATATGTGTGGTAGAGTAAATTATGGACCGATCCTCATAAAATTCGGTAGAAAAAATTTTTGCTAAGAAACTTACTTGTATCGAATTTCAGCTCTGAAGTCGTATTTTAAGCCAGTAATGGACGTTAAATTTTTTGGAGGGGACCATATACATATGTATGAGGGTCAATTATGTACCAATCCTCATAAAATTTGGTAGAGAGAATTTAGCTCATATAACGAAAACGTGGACCGATATTGCCCATTTTCAATACCAAACAAACCTATAAGAAATATTTGTCGATAATTTCAACTCTTTAGCTCTTTCCTTTCAGACTCTATCGTGCTGTCAACAGACAGACAGACGGACAGACATGGCTAGATCGTCATAGAATTTAATAAGGACCCAGAATTTGTTAGCAGTAAAGAAATATCTATCTAAACTCCTTTCTGCAATTTTTGCTAGGACCAATAGCTGAAAATTTACAATCATTAAAAAAAATCATGTATGACCAAAATGTCCAACTTTGACCACCTCTAACTCAGGCAGTACTTGACCGATAAAGTTCTTGGCAGATGTGTCTGGCCTACTATCCAATCGTACTAGTGCAAATTTCATTCCAATAGATTTTTTGAGTTGAAAAATCCTTGCCTTGGTTGTAAGCAAGGCAAGGTAACACAAAATAACTTTTAACTAGTTTTCTTTTCGAATCAAAGAATTTGCTACAAAATGGCATCGATTTGTTGTTGCATATTTTTTATATTTTGTTATAAATGCATATTTTGCTTATTTTTTTAATTTTTCTAAAACAAATTGTTTTGTTTTCTCTGTATTTCATATTTTTACAACAAATTTGGTATTTACATACTTAGAATTTTTTGAATAAATATCAACAAATTTCGATTTAGCAACAAAATTCTGACAAAACAAATGCTGACAAAACCAACTTAAGGCAAAAAGTCTATTTAATTTTAAAAAATACATTTATTAAAAATTTTCAAAAAAAATGAAAACCAAATATTTTTTAAATATGTATTTTGTTAAAAACCCATTATAATAACTAGTTTATCATGTCTGTAAATCGATTCGTTTTCAAAACCGAGAAACTTTTAAAACCGAATTTGGTGTTGTGCAAATCGAATTTTTATTTGAACGCAAAATTCAGAAAAATAAACATTTTTAAATGAAAAAGAGTTTAATATACCCATAGCATTTATATTAAGTTACAAAGTTACGCAAAAAATAATTATTTAATTTATTAGAATAAAATTAAATTCGATTTACTTTCGACCAGATTTGTGTACTCGGTATTAAAACAAGAAAAATTATGAGAACTCGTTTTTAAACGAGAAATTTACTTGGATTCGGTTTACAGAACAGACATGTATATTATTTTTCCCAACGCCTATTTCAGTTAAATTTTACTAAAAATTTCCCGAGTCCAAACAACAACATATAATAACTGAATAACAGAAGGAAGTACAACATAAATAGCTTTCATTTGAGATATTGATCATCCAATCCTACCATGCAGTTTGGCAGAAAAATATAATTGTTTCTATTATCCGGATGGAACAACAGACATAACATACAGACAACAAGAGACTAGACAGAACAGACCACACAGAATACAGACAACATACATACAGACATACATACAAACAGACAGACAACAGATCGACATACATAAACAAAATACACAGACAGACACGACATACATACAGACGACCAGACAACATACACATAACAGACAACATAACAACATACATACAACAACATCAACATACAGACAGAATACAGACATACAGACAACAGACAACATACAGACATACAACACATAAATCAACATAACATACATACATACAGACATACAGACACGACACAGACAGACCATACATACAGACACAAAACACAACATACAGACAGACAGACAGACAGACAGACAGACAGACAGACAGGACAGACAGACAGACAGACAGACAGACAGACAGACAGACCGACAGACAGACAGACAGACAGACAGACAGACAGACAGACAGACAGACAGGACAGACAGAAACAGAAAGACAGACAGACAGACAGGACAGACAGACAGACAGGACGACAGACAGACAGACAGAACAGACAGACAGGACGACAGACAGACAGACAGACAGACAGACAGACAGACAGACAGACAGACAGACAGACAGACAGGACAGACAGACAGACAGACCAGACATACATGGACAGACAGACAGCAGTAAGACAGACAGACATACAGACAGACAGACATACAGACAGACAGACAGACATACAGACAGACAGACAGACAGAACACAGACAGACAGACAGACAGACAGACATACAGCAGACAGACAGCAGACATACAGACAGACATACATACAGACATACATACAGACATACAACAGACGACATACATACATACATACATACATACATACATACTACATACATACATACATACATACATACATACATACATACATACAACATACATACATACATACATACATACATACATACATACATACATACAATGTTTTTAGGATTTTTTAAATAAAATAAATTTGTTAAACTTTAAAATATTAACTTTTTAATCTGTTGTACCTACAGGACTCTTCCAGAATAAAAATTTTTATTCTGCTTAGGGCTGACAATGTAAGTAATCTTGAAGAAAAATTTTCAATATGGTAACACCGTTAATTTTCCAAAAATTGCCCTTCGTCTCTATTACAGAAAGAAAAGAAAACAATGTTTTATTTATAGAAATTCTCCAATTCTAACTGGACTTTTTACAAACACTTGAAATTTTTTTTTTAACTTTATAAGAAATGAAAATAATAAATTAATCTTGAGTTATTTATTGAAATTTATTAAAACAGAAAAAATACTTTCTACTAGTTAGGGCCTTTAAATTTTTTTCAGAAAAAAAATTACATCTAATTATACCTATGACTAGTACTTGTTTTGTTAATTATAATAGAAATTTTGTGTTTGGTATAAAACTACTAACAAAACATATTTGTGTGTACACAAGCAGACATGTCTCTGTAGGCCCAGAAATAGTTAAGAGATTTAAAATGAACCTTGAAATAGATTTTTTGCCTTTGGTAATTTTTCTCTTCAAAGCAAATTCAATTGGCAGATTTTTGTTGTAAAGTTCTATAAACATGTTTTTAAACACACTTTCACATCACTTTATGAAGAGGTATGACATCAACCTACTGCCATGGTCATGACTTGAATTGACGAATTATTATTAATTCATACAAAATATATATGTACACATTAAGAAGTTGCTGTCATATTGATGAGTGGGCGGAGGTTTATTGGTAGAATTCTGAAAGATTTTTAATATATCTGATATGTACCTCTAAGACGTTCTTTACTGCCAGAATCTCACAAATACAAAAGCCCAAAACGCACACACCTCCACCGTTTACAGGCAGTCTTATTTTTGGAGCTGTATTTCCTTTTTTCACTTCAAACAAATTACTTTACTATAAATAACAGTATCAGTTTTTTAATACATATACGCGTCTATGTTATACACTACAACCGAACGTGCTCTGACGCACCACCCGTACACAATTCGTAAAACTGACTAAATTTTTTTTCTTTTCTCCTTTCGATAAAAAGATATTATACCAGGCATGGAAAATTGAAATTTTGAAAAGTACAAACTTTTATCCAGGGCACACTTAGAAGGGTGACTGCATCACTACAACAATACAAAAACAACATGTATTTTGTTTTTGTACTAGAATCAGACTAACGTCAAAAATGACATAAGAAATGTAAACAAATAACATTCTTAACATGTAAACAATAACAACTTTTGACATTATGCATATTCTACACAAAAATAAAATAATAATCAGCTGCTTTATTGCAGTCACCTTATTTTATTATACCATGATCCTATCCCATGATCAAGGCGAATTCAGATAAGGTGGTGGTAGTTATGCAACAACAAAATTTTACATTATTATGTTTTGCATTTGGTTTACGTAGATGTCAAAAACCATAACCCCATGTCTATATTAGACAAATATTTATTATGCTAAACGTCAAATTGTTATCATGATACAAAATTACCAGGTAGAGACGGCATTTATTGGCGTTATAACGTCGTTATAACAGACAAACGTTGTCTTGATAACAAACTTCATTTTTATGTAACATTTGTTTAGAATTTTATTTTTGTACAATTAAAATTGTGTTCATTTACAAAATTTACATTTAATTTTATTTCAATAAAATTATCTGTGAGTTGTCGTGATAAAATCAGCATTTTGTTACCCCTATACATTAACATAAACAAAAAACTGAAAATTTTTCAGCCGACGTTTTGTCAAGTGCCGTGATAAATATTTATCTAATATAGACACGGGGTAAGTACGGCGAATTCATTTGATGAACAATTTTTGTAAAATGTTTATATTTTATTAAAAAATAAAGATATTAATATTTGTGAGGAAAATATATTCTGAATTGAATAATGTTTGTTTCAAACGAAAAATTCTATTCCGGCAGATTAATTTGAAAAATTTAAGTGAGTGCCTGAAGTTAAGTAAAACTTAATTTTTTGTGAAAAATAAGCATAAAAAAGTATATATTCATGAAAATATTATATTACGAATGAATGAATATTTGTTGCGAATGGATAATTCTACTCCGGCGGAGTAATTTTCAATATTTGGCCATCATGTAGCAGCCGCTGGACGGGTAAATACCTCATATGGGGTTTTACCCATATCTTTATCTACATAGTGTATATATAAAACAATATTGTTTAATTTGTTAACATTTAATAGATTTCAAAATTAAGCCAGCCAGCTGGTTAAATTCTTCATATGCGTTTCTTAATATTAAGTGTTCCGGAAGAGATTTTTTTAGTTAATCACGTTATCTACACCATTTTAATATAACATATAAAAAAATATTGTGTAATATGTTAACATTTAAAAGAAAAAAATATTTTTCTTAAATAACATATTTGTATACATACCAATTATGCCATTATTTAAATAAAATGATATTTGTTTACGGGATGCTTGGTCTTTTCAGATTTTTTACATAAATAATTCAAAATATTAACGAAGTTTTTCTCCGTTGAACGGACATTTTTAAATATAAAAATGTAAACAATAACAAACTTTGACAGCTACGCAAACCAGGCGAATTAAGGAGAAAATTATCAGCTGATTAAATAACACCACCTTATATGAATTCGCCATGCCCATGATGGAATAACAAGAGGAAGTCAATTCTACAAAACAACAAAAGATTAATACTTAAGTCGAAAAGTGCATATGTTGCCAGAGTGATGTTTTTAATATATACTAGGGTTCTATAGTTGAAACGAAAATTCTACTTTTCGACTTTTTCATTTAGTTAAAAGTCACGCACATAAAGAAAACAACCCGACGAAAAATAAAACAAACCGTAACAGCTGTTTTATCAAAATAAACATTTTTTTTGGTGTGGTGAGTTATTTTTGTTTACAAATAACGCACATAAAGAAAACAACCCGACGAAAAATAAAACAAACCGTAACAGCTGTTTTATCAAAATAAACATTTTTTTTGGTGTGGTGAGTTATTTTTGTTTACAAATATGTGTTTCTGCACGTGGAAAAGACGCAAAAACTCGTTTTCATTATTTACATTTTCAATATGTGTTTATGCACGTGGAAACAATTCAAAAAAATTGATTTTCATGATTTACATTAAAAAAAATATTTTTGATCAATTAAAATATGTGTATAAATGTGGAAAGGAACAAATCTGATAAAATTATATTTGGGATTATATCGTTACAGAATGCCTTTTAATAAAAAACATTCAAAAAATGTTACTATGGTCATATATGTATATAAAATGATATATAACTGCTATCGGACGATCTTGTGCACGATAAAAACCTATATAGAACTTTAAGTTGGAAGTGTAGAAATAGGATGGCATACATTTTTTTCCGGGTTTCATCGTTCTAGGGTGTGTACTACAACAACAAACTTTTTTTTTACAAAAAATGTTACTATAGCCGTATATATAAAATGATATATAAGTGCTATCGGACGATCTTGTGCACGATAAAAACCTATATAGAACTTTAAGTTGGAAGTGTAGAAATCGGATGGCATACATTTTTTTCCGAATTTCATCGTTCTAGGGTGTGTACTACAACAACAAACTTTTTTTTAACAAAAAATGTTATTATGGCCGTATATATAAAATGATATATAAGTGCTATCGGACGATCTTGTGCACGATAAAAACCTATATAGAACTTTAAGTTGGAAGTGTAGAAATCGGATGCCATACATTTTTTTCCGGATTTCATCGTTCTAGGGTGTGTACTACAACAACAAACTTTTTTTTTACAAAAAATGTTACTATAGCCGTATATATAAAATGATATATAAGTGCTATCGGACGATCTTGTGCACGATAAAAACCTATATAGAACTTTAAGTTGGAAGTGTAGAAATCGTATGGCATACATTTTTTTCCGGATTTCATCGTTCTAGGGTGTGTACTACAACAACAAACTTTTTTTTACAAAAAATGTTACTATAGCCGTATATATAAAATGATATATAAGTGCTATCGGACGATCTTGTGCACGATAAAAACCTATATAGAACTTTAAGTTGGAAGTGTAGAAATCGGATGGCATACATTTTTTTCCGAATTTCATCGTTCTAGGGTGTGTACTACAACAACAAACTTTTTTTTAACAAGAAATGTTATTATGGCCGTATATATAAAATGATATATAAGTGCTATCGGACGATCTTGTGCACGATAAAAACCTATATAGAACTTTAAGTTGGAAGTGTAGAAATCGGATGCCATACATTTTTTTCCGGATTTCATCGTTCTAGGGTGTGTACTACAACAACAAACTTTTTTTTTACAAAAAATGTTACTATAGCCGTATATATAAAATGATATATAACTGCTATCGGACGATCTTGTGCACGACAAAAACCTATATAGAACTTTAAGTTGGAAGTGTAGAAATCGGATGGCATACATTCTTTTCCGGATTTCATCGTTCTAGGGTGTGTACTACAACAACAAACTTTTTTTTTACAAAAAATGTTACTATAGCCGTATATATAAAATGATATATAAGTGCTATCGGACGATCTTGTGCACGATAAAAACCTATATAGAACTTTAAGTTGGAAGTGTAGAAATCGGATGGCATACATTTTTTTCCGGATTTCATCGTTCTAGGGTGTGTACTACAACAACAAACTTTTTTTTTACAAAAAATGTTACTATAGCCGTATATATAAAATGATATATAAGTGCTATCGGACGATCTTGCGCACGATAAAAACCTATATAGAACTTTAAGTTGGAAGTGTAGAAATCGGATGGCATACATTTTTTTCCGAATTTCATCGTTCTAGGGTGTGTACTACAACAACAAACTTTTTTTTAACAAAAAATGTTATTATGGCCGTATATATAAAATGATATATAAGTGCTATCGGACGATCTTGTGCACGATAAAAACCTATATAGAACTTTAAGTTGGAAGTGTAGAAATCGGATGGCATACATTTTTTTCCGGATTTCATCGTTCTAGGGTGTGTACTACAACAACAAACTTTTTTTTTACAAAAAATGTTACTATAGCCGTATATATAAAATGATATATAACTGCTATCGGACGATCTTGTGCACGATAAAAACCTATATAGAACTTTAAGTTGGAAGTGTAGAAATCGGATGGCATACATTTTTTTCCGGATTTCATCGTTCTAGGGTGTGTACTACAACAACAAACTTTTTTTTTACAAAAAATGTTATGGAAGTATATATAAAATGATATATAAGTGCTATCGGACGATCTTGTGCACGATAAAAACCTATATAGAACTTTAAGTTGGAAGTGTAGAAATCGGATGGCATACATTTTTTTCCGGATTTCATCGTTCTAGGGTGTGTACTACAACAACAAACTTTTTTTTTACAAAAAATGTTATGGAAGTATATATAAATTGATATATAACTGCTATCGGACGATCTTGTGCACGATAAAAACCTATATAGAACTTTAAGTTGGAAGTGTAGAAATCGGATGACATACATTTTTTTCCAGATTTCATCGTTCTAGGGTGTGTACTGCAACAACAAACTTTTTTTTTACAAAAAATGTTATTATGGAAGTATATATAAATTGATATATAACTGCTATCGGACGATCTTGTGCACGATAAAAACCTATATAGAACTTTAAGTTGGAAGTGTAGAAATCGTATGGCATACATTTTTTTCCGGATTTCATCGTTCTAGGGTGTGTACTACAACAACAAACTTTTTTTTTACAAAAAATGTTACTATAGCCGTATATATAAAATGATATATAAGTGCTATCGGACGATCTTGTGCACGATAAAAACCTATATAGAACTTTAAGTTGGAAGTGTAGAAATCGGATGGCATACATTTTTTTCCGGATTTCATCGTTCTAGGGTGTGTACTACAACAACAAACTTTTTTTTTACAAAAAATGTTATTATGGAAGTATATATAAATTGCTATATAACTGCTATCGGACGATCTTGTGCACGATAAAAACCT